TTAGTATCATTAATAGTGAGTCAAAGCTTCTTTAGCGGCGTCGAGAATGGCATTCGCTTGGATCATCTTCGTTTTGGCCATCTCCGACTGTTGCTCTGCCTGCAAAAGAGGCTAGTTTTTACAACTTGTTTCATTAATATTACACTCTCTTCACCCCCCTCAGCTTTTAAAGGATGTTTGTCTGTAATTACACAGCTAGACAATACACAGAATCAATTTAATCGTTCAAAACTACTCACAACACAACCACGCAACTGGTCAAATAATGTGTGATTACTAAAGCTGCCTTGGCCGTCTTCACATCCGCCGCCTGGCTTCGTTTCCATTGCTCGACTCGACGTTCTTCTGTTTCTCTCCGGTCACGAACCGTGTCGTTCCTCAGATTATCAGACTCCCCAATCAATGCCAAACCACGAAAGCAATCGGAAATCAAAAAGCTCATTGCCGAATCGAGTGTCACCATCGCCTGAGCACAGCTGATCAGGCCGGCCACCTAAGTGTCTCAGTCGTAATGTTGTTGATGGCACGTGGCAACCGCAAACATCATGATTTGACTGCCGCCCAAGCTGCTGCCTGATCCATTTGGGGCATGGCTTGACCCGCCGACCTGGAGCCAATCGGCACTAGCAGACAATCGCAAAAAAGGAGCCGGCCGTCCAAGCCAAGTGGCACCACCAGAGGTTGACCGACTTGTGCCCCCCAAACTGGCAACTGCCTTAGAATTGCCGTGGCGAATCTACCAGCAACAAACACAGACTCAGCTTCAGAAGCACATGCACATCCTGGACAAAACGTTTCTCCGAGGTGCGGTGGCGGTGTGAACGGCTGGGCCGGACCGGGCCTCGGCTCGAAGGGCGACTGCTTGGGCGTCGCCTTTGCTGGCTGGCCAGCCGACTTGCGTGGAGTTGGGTTCCAGCAGGGCCAGGCGACTTGGGAGCAGTCGACTTGGATGGAGGAGCGCCAGATGAATGCGAGCTGGCTTGCATCGGCAAGGGCTGGGCTTGTTGTGGCGGCCGACTGGATTCAGGAGGGCCAAATGACTTCGGCTGCCCTTGCGGTTGGGTCAGCAAGGGCTGGGCTTGTGGCGGCCGACTGGATTCAGGAGGGCCAAACGACTTCGGCTGCCCTTGGGGTTGGGTCAGCAAGGGCTGGGGTTGCGGCGGCCGACTGGGTTCAGGAGGGCCAAACGACTTCGGCTGTCCTTGGGGTTGGGTCAGCAAGGGCTGCGGTTGCGGTGGATTCAGGAGGGCCAAATGACTTCGGCTGCCCTTTAGGTTGGGTCGGCAAGAGCTGGGGCTGCGGCGGACGGCTGCCCTTTAGGTTGGGTCGGCAAGGGCTGGGGTTGCGGCGGCCGACTCTGTTGCAACGGCTGGGGTTGGGGGTCGCTGGGCTGCGACTGCCAGGGCTGAGATGGCGGTCGACTTGATTGCGGCGCCTCCTAATTGGGCCGACTGGGTTGCGACGGCTCGGCTCGGGGGGGGGCCTTCCGGTTTGCAGGCTTGGCCATCTCGTTCTGCTTCCTCTTCTTGAAAATCTCCTTGGCCTTCGCTTCCTCAGTTACAACTGAATCAACTCAATCACCAGAACCAAGTTGGATCTAAGGCACTCCATGGAGCCGAACGCATCTTCTCCAGTCAGCGCCAAGCCCCTTTTTCATGGCGGCGGGCGACTGGACTGCTAAGCTCACTTAAAGGCTGTCGACGTGCCTCTGCTAGACATGCTGCTGATCGACTACAGTTTCTGTGCCATGCTGCCTGTCTGTCCGCACCCTGCCTCTGGAGCATCGACTGCAGGAATAGAGGTTAGCAACTCAATCAACACAATCAATCGACCAGCAATGGCAGTTCAATGGTCAATGCACATGATGGCTCCTCGACGACCAAGTGCCAGCAAGAAGAGCAGCCCAGGCGCATGGTGCGACCTCGGCAGTTTAAGCTATTCAGGCTTCGTGGAAAATTTTAGGTTTGGGGTCTCGGGACTAAGTTTTGAAGGTAGTCGACTGCTTGGCAAGATCTTACAGTGACGACTTTGTCAAGTGGAATTGCCCTGCATACCATAGTCTAGGGAATTGGGTCGCAGGATTGAGGGCTCGGGCTTGTGGGCTTGGTGTGTTGAGGGGCCGACGATATATTTAGCCGTGCGACTAGTTGAACACCCTGAACCTTGAATACCCCAAGCCTTGAACACCCTGACCCATGAAGTCTGAAAGCCCTAATCCTCACCCGTGAACCCTGAAAACCCTGAACCCTGAAATTCAGGTTCCTGGGCTTAAGGTTTAGGGTATTCAAGGGTTTAGGTTAAATTATAGTTTAATTTAAGGTGTATAGGGTTCATGGGTGTAGGGTGTAGGCACGGGGCTGTTATCTACGACTCCCCAGCTGAACCATGTGCACCCCAAGCTCTAGACTCTAAATACCCTGAATTTCTCAAGTTGGAAACCGACGATACTTAGCCGTGCGACTCAGTTAGTTGAACACCCTGAACCCTGAATAACCTAAACCCTGAACACCCTGACCCGTGAGCCCTCAACACTCTAGACCTTACCCGTTAACCCTGAATGCCCGAAGCCCTAAATATCCTGAACCCAGAAAGCGCTGAACTGGATATCCTGAGCCCTCAACTCCCTAGACTTAAATTAAACTCAAAATACCCTAAACCCTGAATACACTAAACCCTCAACACCCTGAACTCCGCACCCTGAACCCTGAGGAGGGGGGGGGGCGAGGTGGCGGGGTTTTGCCTACTGGATTGGTTAAACTTAGGGTTTCGGGGACGACTGTGCGGATCGGGATGCAGCATCGACTGAAGCAGTCGCGTCCTTTCGGACGACGTCCTCGCGGACGGGGGGCTTCGACTGGGCAGTCGCGTCCTGACGGACGACGTCCTCTCGGACGACTACAACTAGACCTGGGCCTACAACAAAGACTAGTTACCTGGAACATGCCTGGAGCCTCAACCTTTAACCTGTTGGACTACGACTACAATGTTCGACCATTCGGTCGCGTCCTTGCGGACGACGTCCTTTCGGACGGACCCTTCTTCGACCTTTCGGTCGCGTCCTAACGGACGACGTCCTATCGGACGATCTAGATAGACCCTTCACACTAAACCCCTGGAAGCCCTGCCCACTGTGGCCCCGGGCCACTGCTCGACTGATCGTCGTGTCGACGTAGCACATAAAGCAAAGCGGGCGACTAGTTTGGCTTAAAGGCTTCAAGGTGCGACTTAAGTGAAGATTAGGGTCTTTGGAGTTTAGGGTTAAAGCTTAATATGATTTAGGGTTTTGGGCTCGGGTCTAGGGTTATAGGTTCAGGGTTTACAAGACGGTTTAGGCTTTCTGCGTTTTGGGCTAAGGCCGTTGAGGCTGGCGCTTTGAGTTTAGGGGTGTTAAGATTGAGCAGACTTAATATGACAATTCATATCACGGGGTCTAGATTTACTTAAGGTTCAGGGTTTGTGGTTGATTCTTGGGGTTCAGGCTTCGGAGATTGGTGTTTTCAGCTTAGGGTTTATCAAACCACATTATTATTATTACTATTATTAGTATTATTATTAAATTATTATTATTAGCAAAAGGCAGTATATGCTTTGACATGTGTATATGTATATGTATATATACATATACATATAAATCTGCATATAAATGTGTGTATATATATATATGTTCACGACATGTATGTGTATGTGTGTGTATATATGTCTGTTTGTATTCATGTAGGTGGTTATACATAATTGTATTAACATACATACATACATACATACATACATACAACAGTGGCGATCGACTGCTTAGCTCAACTTAAAACTTATGTCGACTGGGCCGAAACGATTTTTGCGGTCGTCCTGCCCCCCCCCCATGTACTGCATGCTACCAAGTGTATGTATATTTATACATATGATATATATATATGTATATATATATATATGTATATATATATATGTATATATATATATATATGTATATATATATATACATATGTATATGTATATATATATATATATATATATTATATTATATTATATTATATTATATTATATTATATTATATTATATTATATTATATTATATTATATTATATTGTATTATATTATATTATATATACCCACGCACACCCACAGAAATGAAAAATTGCACGAAAGCCCTACCAAGTAGTGAAGCCCATGAAACACAGAGGGTAGTGCATTAGTAAAAACGGGAAACACCCGGGTCCACAACAGAAGCCTTAGCCCAGATTCGAAGCAACATCCCAGATGTGCGAATCGGACCCAGCCGTTCCCGCACATACTGCCCCAGTACCACAAAAGGGAACAGGTACTAACCTCAGACACGGCGGTGTCTCAGGGCGGGCGGGTGGGAGAAACGAAATGCCAGCTTGCCGGTTTGGCTCTAGCTGCAGCTTAAGCCAACATTTGCAAGCAGGTACAAGGTTCCTCAAACATGATGCATGCACACCCTAGCCCTAGCCTGCCAAACTCAATGCATGTGTACATTTCAGAGGACCGTACGCAGACACAAAAGAATTCGCACACTCCGTTGTCCACTCTCGTGGTTTGCGCATGGTCTGGGGATGTCTGGGGACATGGATTTTTACAGGCTGTTCAGTATTCTGCGAATGAGCCCAATGCACTGCGCAGGCCGGAGTGACGAAAGCTTGGTGTGTGTGTGTGTGTGTGTCTGTGGACCGTATGTACTGTACACAGCTCTGCAGGTGCACCAGAACCGGACCGACAACCTGGTAGGACTTTTCCGAGTTTGCCCCTTGGAGGGATACACAGTGGGAACCGGAATCCTGGATGGGATGGAACAAATGCACAAAATGCAAGTTATTCCAGCGAGGATTGACAGCCTGTCATGTGCACAATGACCTCATGCATACGAAGTACTTGGGCTACTGCCGGCATTTATTCGGATCAGTCCTGGAACTGCTGTGTCGCCATGTAATGGACAAGGAGCCATTGGACACCCTCAAGGATTTGTGGAAGTACATAAATACAACTGCATCAGAAGACGAACAGGATTAAAAACAGGTACCAGCAGCGGCTGCGCAAACTGTCGATGTTCCAGAAGCAGAAGGACTTCCCGAAGCTGAAGGGCAAGGCGAGTGAGATCAAAGGGGTGTGTGACAGCGATGTGAGGTTCATGGCACCGTGAACCTGACATCGCTGCAGTCGATGTTGTCTTCTGCATCCCTCATGGTGCAGCTCGGAAGCGAGAGATCGAGGCACAAAAAGCGCCTCGATCTCTTGTCGCTTCCGGGCTGCACGATGTGCAATCGGGCTAATCCAATAATCCGTTGTGGAAATAAAAGCAGAACAGCACAAAAGGACCCCAGCAGCAAGAGAAACACTCCAATGGGCGCTTCTCTTGCTGCTGGAGTTCTGACTTGCCCATTGCACAAGGAATCGCAAAAGTAAGAGCCATAATCCAATGGATTGTCGCTCTTGCTGTTGCGGTTCTGAGAGAGGGCTGGAGGGCCCAGGATGTATGTGTGATATATATATATATATATATATAATTCAATATTGTATGTATTTCAGGGCTGGGTGGCCCATTGTGGATATGTGCATCTGGAATGGGTGCCACCTCCTGGACATTGTGCCATCCTGAGACATGATAGCAATGTCAAGGGGCTGTCTGCGTGTAGAAAACGCGAAGACAGATCCCAGCCGTTGGAAAAAAGAGACTGTGTGTGTGTGTATGTGTGTGTTAGGTCTTGCAAAGGGCTGGATGCATATACATATACATACACATATACATATACATATACATATACATATACATATGCATATACATATACATTTATATTCATTTTTATATTTATATTTATATTTATATTGATATTTATATTTGTATTTATGTATTTATACACATCATTGTATACTTCAGGGATGGATGGCCTATTCTGTGTCACACACAAAATGTAAAATCTTCTTTTCAGTCTGATTTCCAGGGCTGCGGTAGGTACACACGTGGGGGCAAACTTGTAGCACCCCGCCTCGGCGGGTTGGACCTCCTATCTTCAGTCCGGCCCGCCGCCATGAAAAATCTTCGAAGAAATGTACAAAAGATTCACCCTCCAAAGCAGTCGCGGCAAGCAGTATAGGATCGAACTTGCGAGTTACGGATATGCCCGCAACCTGGAAGGTGAAATCGCACTCCGCGGCTAGTGGCGACATGAATTGTCTCGGGCTCACGCCGGGCTCGCAGCCTCTCAAAGGCTTGCTGCAGCCTTCGGTTCTCGTCCCTAACTTCCGCAAGCACGTCACTGTACCTCTCCTCCTCACGGCACTTCTGTGCCAACAGCTGCTCGAGGTCTGTGCACCTTCGCACGTACTCCTCACTGAACAGCCTCTCCTCCTTGCTCATCCCTCTGTGTGGATTGTATCCACGAACCTCCTCTGTCTGCGTTCCCACGGTGCGGCTGCCTTTCCTCCTCCCTTGGAAAACGGCCTTCCAGCTCCACTTAAGCAGCTTGAAGGCACTGAGAGGCAAGCCCACAAACACCGCAAGAACCAAGAGTCCCACCGCAGCCGTCGCGACAAGCTCTGTGGCAAGCTCGTCGTTCCACCCAGCCGTCCACATAGCCAGGCCCAAGCCCTGGACTCCACTAACTTGCGTAAGCATGAGCAGCACGGGGAGGACGGTCTTGATGTTCCTCACTGCTGCTCCGGCACTCTTGAACTCCTTGATGGCCTGGCTGAGGGCACGCTTCTCGTCGCCACTTTCCTTGTCGGCCTTCCCATATGGATCTCCTCCTGGCTCAAGAGCTCCCATAGTGTAGAGGAGCTCGCGGATTCTCGTGCCCGTCAGTGGCTTCGTTCCCACGTCTGCGGGGTTAATCGTGCCGCCAATGGGGCCGACCGATATTTCCCGGCGCTTCACATAGTCCTGGATCCAGAGCCATCCAGCCTGCAGGTGCTGTACACGGCCACACCCCAGGCGTTGGGTGATGGTCCTTGCTGAGGCACTGTCGCTTCTGGACCTGAGCTCGACCATAAACTCCCCGTTGCCGATGAACTCGAGGATGTCCCGGAGATAGAGCCCTTTACACGCTCCTCCAATTATCGCGACGAATTCGCTTTCGGCCGAGCTGAGGGCGATGGCCTTTTGGGTTCGCACAGCTGACCCGACCAAAGACTCCGAAACGTAGTACTGCATCGAACTCCTGCCCCGTCTGGTTCTCTTGCATCCTCCCCAGTCGGCGTCGGTGATGCACTCGATCACAACCTTGAACTCCCCCGCCGCCTTCTCTTGCCGTTGGAGTAGATAGCCACCACCCCGTCGAGCGTCTTCACGTAGCGCCGCTTTAAGAAGTCGATGCTGTCCCCGACGTTGACCAAAGGCGGGCTCACCTGCAAAGTGACCTTGCCACCGAAGACCCTCTCAAACTCCTGCCGCTCGGCCTCTGTGCTCGCCAGTAGCCCATCGTCGGCATGGAGGATGAGCCCCGTCTTCTTCCCTTTCTCAGTGCTCTTAAACAGGGTGGACTCTTTGATGTAGCTTTTGAGCTTGGCCTCCTCCAGGCCTCCAGGATCTCGCGCGCGAAGCCGAACCACGCTGAGGCCCCAATCCTTTGCCCAGGAAGGAGGCGGTCGAGGACCAGGGTGATGGTTCCCGGGCCCGGCTCGCCAAACATAGCGCGGTCCACCTGGATGGTAACCGGGTTCGGTTGCGGCACATTGAGATATGCGTCTTTCACGTCGACGGTGGTGAGCTGGAGGTTCTCCGAAATCGCCCAGCTGATAAATGTGTGCACCGTCGCTAAAGTGCTAAAGTAGAGGCCGGTGCAAACAGTTCCTGCGTGTACGGGGACATGCTGCGGAACTCTCGCCCCACTAGCCGGCTCCGTCGCAGCCACCCCGGTCGTCGCCGCCAATCTCTCACTACCTTGGCGGTTAGCACTTGGTAGCTAGAGGTGTCTTCGTTTTCAGCAGGCCATCTTGCCACGCCCATTGCAATAAGGCGGGTGATCTCCTTGAGATCAGCTTCGCGGTCCACCTGCTCCAACTGCTCTGGGGTCAGCTCCGGCGGGCTGTCTGCTTCTGGATCCCACCACGTCTCGCTGAACTCTCCGGCCTGCTCGTGTCAGTGGGCCCCGGCGGTTGTAGCTGTCCTGCTGGTTCTTGTCGTGTGTTTGGCTGTTGCTGCCGCTGTCCTGCATCACCTATGGGCCCCGGTGGTTGTAGCTGTCCTGGTGGTTCTTGTCGTGTGTTTGGTTGCTGCTGCCGTTGCTCTCCTCCTGCTGGCGCTGGCACCCCGGCACTCGACATTGGCGCTGCCGGGGAAGAGGGTGATCCGGAAGAGGACTCCGAAGAAGTAGTTGGATCACTCCCCGCCTCGCTCTCAGGCCTCCTCTCGGAACTGGTGTTGTTGCAGCAATGCTCTCGGCCGTCGCTTTCCCAGCAGCGCGCGCCAGACTCTCCAAGGTGGCCGTGTCAGGCAGCAAAGGGGCCGGCGCACCCACTGAAGAGTAGAGTGGCCTCTTCCTCGGGGCCGTCCCCATGTAGCTCCAGGGCAGTCCTTTCGCACTCAGCACCATTGTTGCATCCCATTGCTCGTTTTCAGGTAGCCGGCGAATGCTCCGGCTCTCCACAACACCATTGGCTGTCCCCAGGATGTGTGAAGCATTCCTTTCGTTGACTCCGAGCCAGATGCCCTTTTCCCACTGTAGGTCGCCCTTGTGCTTGGAAGGCGTGTAGTATATGCACTTCTCGCCAAAGGGGAGAAGCTTCCCCTTGCACCGCCGCCCGAAAACGATCTCAAAAGCCGGTGCCCCTCGGGATCCAACAGCAAAGCGGTTGTGGAGGAAGGCGGCGCGCCTGTTGACCCAAGCCTATATGTGGCAATGCCCCTCGAGCTTTGCCTTGATCCTGTCCTCGAGAAAGTTCGGGACTGTAAGGCCACCACGGCGGATCGTGTCGATGGCCTTCTCGACCTGCCCATTGCTTGCGGAGCCCTTCTCAATGAGCCGGGTGTTGGTGACCAGTCCCAGCCGAGACCGGCAGGCCTGCACCGCATCGAGCGCTTGTTTCACTGAAGTCACCTTGCACCAGAACGGGCTCACTCGGGCTCACCTGAAGGCTAAGACGCACAAGGTGCTCGGTGACACGTTTTAGGGACCCAGCTCCCTTCTCCAACGTTGTGCTCTCGGCTGCCACCAGCGAAAGCCCAAACTGATCGCGGTAATCGATGGGCTTCTGAAGCGGGATCTCCCCAATCCCACCTGCCTCTGCATTGGGCTCATTCTGCGCATCCGGGTGGGCCTCCTCGCCACCTGCATCCCCGTGCCCTGCCCACGGGAGTGACTCCAGCTCTCCCTCTTGGACCTCATGCTTCTGCTTGGTGAAGCCGTAGGCCGTAGGCGTAGTCTTGGCATGCGGGCTCTGGCGACTTCTCCCCAAAACACAGGCCTCGCACCATGGTTGGAAAGGTTGGTGCGTTATGTTGCGCAGCTCCTGCTGCCGGGCTGACGGCAGAATGGGAGCTCGTGGTGCATCAGGTTCGTGGTGGCCCTCCAAGTAAATCTTGCGTGCCACCTCCGCCGCCATCTGGTGCTCTAGCTTTTCCCTCTGAAGCCTAAGGCGCCTAAGCACCTTATCCTTTCCACCGCTCCTGCATGTCCCTTGGCTGTTGCAGAGCTCCCGCAACCTCTTCAGGGGCGTGTCAACGCTGGGAGCCACGCCTTCAGGTGGTCGCCTTCTGGGACCGAAGGCTCCTCGACCTCCCTGCCATCCACCGCCATTCGCTCGCTTGGGTCAAGGCCACCGTCAGGCTCGTCACAGGCCTCCTCGACTGCCGGGACATATGGGCCGGCAAGGTCATTGGCCGAATTATCGAAGACTCTTGCCGGCTTGGACAGGATGTCCTTGACGACGTGGAACAGGGCCAGCACATCCCTTGGCCCGCCCAAGTCCTCGTCGAGCTCCGATATGATCTTGCTGGCCTCCTGTCTCGACCGTGAGGATCTGCACCCCGTACTTGCCCTTGGCGTCCTTCTTCTCTTGCCTTTGCCATCCTTACCTTTGGATTTGCCGCCCCATGTGCGGTCAACTTCCATGGCTTGCTGGCCTCCATCATCAAACTTTCCTCCTCCGCCCTTTGACTGTCCCCCGGCCACCGTACCCCATGGAGTGTTCAGGGCCTCGTACTGGAGAATCCGGTGTACCATGCGGAACTGAACCTGAGACTTGAGTGGTTCCCACAACCCGGTCAAGACCGTCGCCAACACCAGGTCCTTGCTGAACTCCTTCCCGGACGCGGCCTCGTATGCACGGAGGGCCTCCTCGTAACGGATGAGGTGCTCATGCGCCTCGTAGCCCGACTTGCTTTGCTCAAGAGACCTCACCAGAAGTAGCGGCCTCCCCTTCAACAAAGGAACAAAGAAGACTATAAAGCTTCTGGCTCCTCTGCACCATTGCGTCGGGCAGCAGGGCGTGGTCGACCTCGGTGTCCAAGTCGATGTTCCTGAGGTCCTCTTCGTAGCCCGGGTCGTGGGCTATGAGGTAATTCGAAAAGGCCGAACCGCCACTCTCTCCAAGTCCTCAGCTCCTCCTCTCTGCCCTGCGGCTTCCATGCATCCACCTTCAAGCTGCGCACCATGTTGTCAGACCGCTGGCTGCCAGCCTGCTGTTCTGCAGCTCGGGCCGCTCGTTCGCTGGACTCAACCAGCTTCCCAGACATATTTGTAAAAGCTTGCTCCAGCCGTTGCTTCACGATGCGGTCCACAAAGCTCTCAGCCTGCTGCTGAAGGTTGCTGTTGTTGTTGCTGTTGCTGTTGTTGCTGCTGGCCTGGCTGGCCTGCTCCAACACCTTTTGCTGGCCTGCTCCATCTCCGGGTCCATTTGCCTGAGACATCGCTGCGAAAACTCTCCAGCCAAAGCCAAGTAAAGACCTGGCCTCGGCAGCTGCTCCTCTGGCGTCCTCGCGCCCGCTTCCGCTCTCCTTTCCTTCTCCAAGCAGTGGCGCTCCACGGGCCCAACTGCTTCCACTCTCCGGTGGTGCCCTTCCACAGGGTCTTACGCCAAAAAGAAAACTCGAGGTGCCGGCCCAGTTTAGTGCAGCGGCACTGGGGCTCTGGCAGATTAAACTGCAGCAGAGAAAAGCAGAAAAGATTGTGTGGTGAAACCTGGCTGGCCCAAAGGCTCGGGACTTAGTCGTGGCCCCTACCCTACGGAACCTCTACGGGCTCTGGGTCCTGGCCCCGGTAGGCGCGGCTTTCGTGGGAGACACAAAGGAATCACCACGGGTAGCCAAGCTCCGCTACCATGTAAAAGCTTCTTTTCACTCTGATTTCCAGGGCTGCGGTAGGTACACAGGTGGGGGCAAACTTGTAGCAGAAAATGTGTCTGTTGGATCACAGATCGGCTGGTTGGCCCTTTTCACAAAGGAAAGGGGAAGGGAGAGGGTGGAACAGGAATGGGAGAGGGTAGAGAGGGGAGGTGGGGTGGGGTGGGGTGTGTGGGATAATAGAGCCAACCCATCACTTTTGGGTGGATTTTATATCATGAGTTTAGCCCTGCAAACCCGCCCTTGGGGGTCTCAATTTGACCCCCTCCAAGGGTGTAAATTCTTAGGGGTAAATTTAGACCCATTGGATCTATCAGGCACTGCAGTGCCATCGTACACATGGCGAAGATGAGTGGGAACCTCGGATGCATGACGGCGTGCGGCGGCACCCTTCCAACGTGCGGTCTCAGCTTCATGGTGGGCAAGGCCAAGCTCGCCGTGTCGCGTCTGCCCTTGCCAGGTTGCGTTGGCCGCAAGGAAGCATGGCCAGATTTCGACCCGCGGTCGCTCCGAGAATGGGCTATGACTCCACTTGCACTGTCTTTGAGGCTTCAGTGGATTTTGCGTGGCGGAGGCTGACGGTAGACACTGTCAAGCAAGCGGATGGCCCTCGCGATGCCGTCTATGTGGGGCAAGGACATCACACCCACGGATTCCCAAGACCAAGTGGGCTGCACCGATGGTGGCAGGGCACGATTGCCCATTTGATGAGTTTCTTCCCAGGTACATACAGCGCATCAGGGATAACCTGTTCGACCAGCTACCTTAGCTCTTTGGGAAAACGCTCGTGGTGGACTCAATCGCCACCTTTCATTCGGAAGGCGACGCAGACTCGGGCAGCACAGGCACGCCACCCACGCAAGTCAGTCAAGAAACCCGCGCGCCGCGCTTCTGGCGTCCTCGCGAAGGCGCCGGGGCCTGCGGTGGCGCCTTTGGTTGACGCTTCTCAGGCCTTAATCTCGGTGTCTCGGTGTGCCTGCGCCAAAAGAATATTCGCTCAGCAGTTCGTAAGCTTTTCCCAGACGAATGCCTGCGCGGAGTAACACTCCCCTTCATCGAGGATCTCGTGAATGCGCCCCCTTTTGACTTCTACACGTGATGGCTGAACAGGCAGCAATCCGGGGCATTGAGCCAAAGGGCAGCGCTTCCACCGCTGCTTTCCTTCGGATTTATCTGAGGACGAGCAATTTGCGCAGGCCTCAGGCCGCCTGCGAGAACCCATGCTGACCGAATATGCACCAGTTTGGGATCGGGGCCTTTGTTTTGCAGCAAGCTTCAACGGCCGAGAACCGGACGGGCCTTCGGACCCTGCGCCGGCAGGCTGTCGGCGCAATCAACGAACTCAAGCAGCGGTGGGCCGGCGTGGACACCACTACATTCGTGGACATGTGGAACAATTCTGCCCCGGAAACAGAGGAATACAAGCAAGTAGCAGTGTTGCTGGAACTGAACAAGGACTTCGAGGACATCCTGCGCAAGTACCCTGTGTCGGAAGGACATTTTGCATTGCCGGCGGATGCAGCACGACAGCTGGTGCAGAATTTCAGGAATTTCGGTGCACTTCATGTTCATTTAATTGCGGCGTTACCAGGCGCCCCAGCCCTTCGCCGTGTGACGGCGGCTAGCTCGGGACATTGGTTTGGTTGCGCTGTTGGTTGTTCTCTTCGCTTGGCCCGACGCAGCTCTCCCATTCGCCTTGATTGCAGGTGTGCCGGCAAGGTGGGGTTTGCGGTGTGTACGGCTTTTTCCCCAGATCCCTATGTAACCTATCATTTGAAGATGTTATGGGTGATTGGAGGGCCCGCAATACTCGCATCTTGGAGCGCCTGGGCCCCTCTAGGGATGATGCGTTTCTTCTGCAGCAGTCGACCAAGGACTTCGAATCAGGCTCATGAACCCTCGCACCTGCACGATCATGGAGGCTATTGAGTTCGGCTGCAAAGATAGCTCTCCAAATGGAGGGGGAATCAATGTCGGTGGGCTGGTATGAAGATGCCAGCTGCCTACGCTGGTCCTGTGGCATGCTGCAGGTGAACCCTCCTAGCCTCATAGACGCTTTAAGCATCTTTAAGCCCCAGCCCTTGACAAATTCACTGACAACTCCACGGCCCTAAAAAAGGGAACTGAAAGCCTCCGATACCTTGGAGACAACGCCGGCAGTCCGAGTCGGTACAAACAAAGCGGCACAGGGGACTGGACGACCCCTACAGGAGACGTTCGTAAGAATCTCGTCTGGTGCTGGCAAATGGGATGCTTCCCATACTGCGTTCCACATCGACCAAAAGTGGTCCTCCCGACCGGAGCGATCAAGTTCACCCATAAACCGCGGAGAGTCGAAGAGGTTCTCAGCGGACAAAATCTGTTGGCTCGTATGGACCGCATAAAGTCAAAATCCGAGCCATGAGCCCCATTCATGATCTAGTGGGGTACCTCCCCAGAAACGAAATACCAGCTTGCCGGTTCGGCTCTAGCTACAGCTTAAGCCAACATTTGTAAGCAGGCGCACAAGGTTCCTCAAAAATGATGCATGCACACCCTAGCCTGCCAAACTCAATGCATGTATAGCAATGGTTGCTAGGCAAGCCTGAATGTCAAGTACGAGTTGTGCAACAAGCCACTCGTGATACCGTCAACTGCCTATGACCGCAACCGACCCAAATTGAAGGTGACCTCTACTTGGGCTTCCGATTCCAGCAGTTTCTTTCCAGTTCCCATGCACATATTCACGACTGAAGCTTGAGTACTACCGAATGCAGCGCATACTTGAAGCGCGTGCTTACTTGCAATGGGACGTGCACGCTGATATTCACAGGCTGCTGTGCGTTGTCGGCGCGGCGCATTCCAGGATTCCAGGATGAACCACGAGGTCACTATAGGAGTTCACTAGGCTAAGCGCAAGTTCTCCTGCCTCGGAGCAGTTCTCAGTGAGCAGCCGTGCTTTGTCGATCTGGCTAGGCAGACATGTCTCTAGGTAAGAGTTCTCCGACCTCGGCGTTTGATTATGAGCCTTGCCATTTGGTGTGAGCGGGAACTTCTCAAGGACTGCAATCCTAAGAACACTTGGAACGCAGATCCAAATCGGCATCCGCTCATCATCTTGCACTCCACCTGCCTCGTCGGCACCATGTACTGTGGCCTCGGCGATGCAAGTGCAGGAATCAGGAACTCACCGCAGTTGGCATCTTTGCTCATACAGCGGTCTTCACTGTTGTCCTGCGTCATGAGGCAGTTGCAGCGCCCTCAGCAGCTCCGATCGCAACGTCGCTGGAGACAGGGTCTCAGGAGTGACCCATGCCCATAGGCCATCCTTGACTGCACCCATAACGCGACAACTTGACCGCAGTTCCTGCCTTGGCCGGATTGACGGCGACAGCCACAGCCTAAGCAAAAGAGGCAAAGATAGGCACGGCATGGCACGGCGGCACGGGCAAAGTGCCGCGGTGGCGGCCCGTGGCGGCCCGTGGCGTTTCGGGCGCTGTTTCGCTGGGACTCGGACCTGCGCTCCCAGAGCCGCCAGCGCCGCCTCCACTTCGCTCAGCTCCTGGCAAGTCCGCTGCTTCGGAGCCCCGCCTCTCTGCAGAACTCCCTTGCAATCACTGTCCCGCTTAAGCGCGGCTGTGGGACGATGCGGAAACCTCGCACCTTCACCATCTCATCATTCCGGCCCAGGTAGAGCAACTGTCCCTGCGGGAGCCAAGTCACGACATCACCAGTCTTGTACATTCGCTGCATCTTTTGGCATCCAAGAGGGTTGATCACGAACTTCTCAGCTGTCTTCGCTGCGTCGCCGAAGTACCCTCGTGCCAGTTGAATCCCACCTAAGCAAGCAAAGCAAGGCACAAGGCCTATAGGGGCTCCGAAGAACTTCAAGCGACTTCTCAGAGGGCTGCCGAGGCAGAGTTCCCCAGGAGTGCCGATTGCCTATCACCGCTTCTGAGCACTCAGAGCACTCAGAGTCAGAGCACAGCATCGAGGTCACTCATTCCCCGCCCGTCTTTCCCCGCAACCCGTCCTGAAGTGACTTCAATGCGGTGGCTTCGAAGACATAGCACTGCACTCCTCCAAGCGGAGTGCCAATGGGCACGTGCTGTCGCGAAGGGGCTGACATAAGGCTGTCGAACGAGTCAGATCGGAGGATGAAGTCGTTGGAGCTTTCGCTCGGAGCCACGAGCTCGGCGGACGTTGCAACCACGGTGTTTTCCGAGGGGCCATAGGCATTTAGAAGCCGGCGCTGGCAGTGCTGGCCTGGCTGGCAGGCCCAAAGCTCCACTAAAGTCGGTGGACAGGCCTCGGCGGCCACTGCCAGCTTCGTCAAGAGTGGTAGGCGCTGCGGGTCCAGCACCGACAGTGCAGACGGCGTCAAAGTGCACGCTGTGCAGCGGTGTCTCGACAGGACCTCTGCAAAGGTCTCCTCCTTGTCCTCGCCCCAAAGCACAAGCACTGCACCAGCCAGGAAGGTGCTCAGGTACTCCTCAGAAAGCAAAGGCGTGATCTTTGTTGAGCTGCAGAGCACTGAGCATTGAACAGAGGAAAAGCGGCTTCAGCAAGTCCTGGACGGCACCATCAAAGGCAGGCTTGAAGAATTGGAGGACGCGATCCTCCCTGGTAATGCGCATGAGGGAAAGCTGCTCCTGCGAAGATTCGGACGTGAGATGACGCAGGGCTTTCACATATCGTTTCATCAGTATAATCTGAATCAGCTCAAGCTCCTGCACCATGTTCGCAGCCGATCGGTGCTCAATGGCCACGCCTTTGGGCTTGCCGGTAGAGCCGGAGGTGTAAATGACGTAGGCCAGGCCTTGCGGCGGTGCCTGCGTGAGCTCCTCCACACGGGCAGGGTTAAAGGAGGTTTCCGGGCTTGGCCACTGCCGTGTGCCGAAGACTCCGATGTCTTCCCCCATCAGCTCTGCGTGCTCTTCTTTGGCCAAAGCCAAGTGCGGTTTCGCAGAGTTCAGGATGTGCTGGATCCGCTGCGGTGGATACTCGGGGTCAATCGGGACGTAGGCCGCTCCCGGGAGGCTCAAGACAGCCCAGATCGCAACAGCCAAGTCCACGGACCGCGGCAACAGCACCGCCACCAGCTTTTCGTCTTTGTGCGCCTCCGGCTCGAGCGGGAGCCGCGCCCGCAGAGCCTCAGCCGGGTCCCGGGTCCCTCAGCCGGGGTGAAGCGAAGAGACGAAGCTCCGTTTCGCCGAGCCCGAGACCAGGGAGAGGGCCATGACGCGTGCGCCGAACTCCCCGTAGGTGACGGAGCGGTCCTGCAGTAGAGACTCAGTCTCTTGGTCTCCGTGAAGCCGATACTGGTATCTTAGGATCACACTCCAGAGAGCACTGCGATGTCATGCTGGCACTGGAGAAGTTGCACTTTCAGAGCCTGTGCCAGCGCCCACGGTGCCCTCCAGCAATGCCCCCCGGCCCTTCTCTCGACACTCCGGGGGGCCGCTAGTGCCGCTAGTGTTGGTGGACCTGGCAACTCAGGGAACCTCATCGGTTCGCCTTCGCCTTCGCCCGAGTCAACCCCGGGTCGGAGGAGCAACGATGTTGCTTCCAGCGATCAGCACTGTTTTGCACGCATGTGTACACGTGGCCTTCGAACGAGGCACGTGTAGAATTGCTGTTCGATTTCGGTGGTTTCCGAACGCGGTGGTTAACATGCGGGATTTGAATCTGCTCGGCCTTGATCAGCGGCGTGGGTGACGCGACCGGTCGGTTGTGGCCGCCCCATTCCAGGACCTTGGCCCGATCGTTGCTGGAGATGACCTGAGCGACAAGCTTTGTGCTTGAACTCATAGCATCAAATTCCCACTGCAGCCCCCCGCCGCAAGTTGGAGCAGGTCCACCGCGGGCTGCTCCGCCACAGCCAGAGCCAGCGTCTGGCATGCAGTCGAGGGGACGCAGCGAAACTTCCACAAGCTGCTGACCTGGAGGCTCTCAGCAAAACGCACGGCCTCAGCAAAGCCGCTGTGCACGTGCAGCATATAATTATGCCCCTGCTGCAAGTGTTGCTGGTGTCCACATTCATCCGGAAGGTGCAGGTAAGCTTCTGCGCGCCCGCGGGCCCCGTGGTGACGCTGTCTCTGATGTCGTATGTACGCAGACCCGCGTGGGCGCGCGGGCGGGCGGGCATTCAGGCTTCATGCCGATTGCACATGATCAATGCCGCATGCTCCTACGCTCCGGCACCAGGCGCCCGGCACGTGAGTTGGTCCAGAGGTGCTTGTTGTAGACCTCGCACAGAAGGATACCTAAAAAAGTCTCTGCAAGCAATCTGGACCCACTCGACTTGCATCCAAGCGTCCAGGACTCCCTGGAGTCCTAGAAATCGGAACGGCAGCTGTGCCGCATACCACACCTACGGACCTATTCTTTGCCTCCAGCAGATCCAGGCATCTCCTTCACGAAACGATCGCAAAGCTTAAGCACTGCACTCAGACATCATGCATGCTTGGCCTGCATCTCGCAAGTGACATCGAAGAGGGCCGCATGCCGCTTGATTTCGACTTGCTCAACTCGCAAGCCCTGCATGCGGCGGAGCCACCGGAGACTCCACAGCATTCGCTGAGGGACAAGACCGAACCTCCATGTTCCATGCCGTCTCATCTCTATCCTTCTCACGATTGCTACAGTACTCACCTGACCACTGCCACCACACAGGCACGGAGTCCTGCAGCACAAACATGGCTGGCACAGCAGCCGGATCAAGCTCCGCAGCCTCCGGTCAGGCATGGTGGAAGCTTCACAGCTCCGCTTCTCTGAAGCCGAGCCTCCAGAACCTTTGCGTACGGAGCCGAAGAATTCTGGAAAGCCCCGACCACTGTATCGCGCAATCTTCCCAGGAGATCCTTGCAACACATTTCGCAAAGCCGATGCCCGGCAGAAAGCCTCTCGAGGCCTCTCGGGCCTGCCTCGAATGTGCAGGGCGTCTTCAAGTTCACCCGGAAGAGCACAGTGTTCCTTAAGCGAGGTTAGCAATGTCGCCACCGGTGACATGCTGTTTCTGGGGCCACGACACAAAGTATCCAATTAGTGGCTCGACGGCATTCCTCTGGACGCACGTGTGCGCGTGACGGGAACCTATCAAAAAAACATCTGATCAAACAAACCCCATATTTGCCCACCAAAACCTCTTCGGCCGGCCACACAAAAAACTTTCCAGCCATAATCAAACCCGAATTGCCTGTACGTGTCGTTGATAATGCTAAAATCATTCGAACGTCCGCTTGAGCAGCATTGACCCATCGACTGCCCTGAGGCTCTGTCCCCTGGCGGTGGCCCACCGGCGAGGCGATGGCGAGATCCTGTGCCGCTGCCCAGCGGCTCAGTGCCAGGGCAAAGAGGCCTCTCAGATGACTGTTACTACAGCACTGCTGCGAAAATGCACCACAAACAGCTCCTGGCCTAAGAGAAGTGCAAAGAGCGTGACGCTCTTGGCGCGTGCAAGGCTGCGCAGCCGATTTGCCAGCGCTGGCTGCAACTGAAACGTAACCTATCGAAGGGCCACAATCTATGCTCGTAACTCGGCTCTTTCCTGAGTAGCCCGCTTGACCTCCGTCCAGCGCGAGGTTGGGCGGGCGAGGGAAATCCGTGAGGAGCTGCACAGGTGCCAGGCGCACGCAGAGACAGCGTTGCACTGACTGACAAACACGGCGCGTGTGTATGAAATTGTATCTTTCGAACATGCAAGCACCTATGTGCACGACATGGCGCGTATAAATACATATACATAATTATGTGCATATATAAAGCTATATGTATACGTACATATATGCATGTCAATGCATGCATGCTTACATACATACATACGTACATACATACATACATACATATATATATATATATGTATGTATATGTGTATATATATATATACATATACATATACATATACATATACATATACATATACATATACATATACATATACATAAACATGTACATGTATATGTACATACACATATACATACACATGTACATGTACATATACATATATGCATATATACATATATACATACGTACATACATACATACATATATACATATATACATATATACATATATACATATATACATATATACATATATACATATATACATATATACATATATACATATACATATAAATAGATACATATATATATATATATATATATGTATATACATATATACACATATATACTATATACATTATATACATATATAGACATAAACATATATACATATATACATATATACATATATACACCTATATACATATATACACATATATACTATATACATTATATACATATATAGACATAAACATATATACATGTATGTATGTACACATATACATGCTTACTAACCCCCTCCGAATTGATCCGCAGAAGCTTCTCGCGAGACTCGAAGATTTGCTTTTGGTTGCAAAAGCATATGAAGCTGCGAAGGAAAAAGTAGTAAGAACGCAAGACTTGCTGTTCGTTGAGCATAAGTGCTTTCTTTTCCTATACTAATTGCAACGCCAAACATGCGACATATTTCAACAACGAAACACTCGGTGCTAACTAGGGATGTGGTGGGCTTGCTCGAAGTTAAGTGATAATTTAGCCTACGTGGCGTTCTCATGTGTACGTAACGAAGTCAGTCCTGCAGGGCCGAAAGCTGCTGAAGCTGGGAGCGCCAGTAGGCCAGCTCTCTCTCAAGACGGCCCTGACGAGAACAGCGACTGAGACTTCCAAACACAAAACCGGCCCTCGCCTGGGCCATCCACCGTCTCTGACAGTATGCGAAATCCTTGGCTCTGAAGCTCAACTCTCGACAGTCTACCGCGAAAGCTTTGCAGCATTGGGCAGCTGATCTCGTGACAGACTTTACGGACAGAGATTTCGCGAGGGTGATATATCCTTGATCATCATTGCGCTCGGCAACCCTGCAGTGTGTTGTGCAGACTGTAAAGGATAGAGATGCAGTCAGGGGTGAGAGATGCTGCAACAGTTGAAGTCCTCAACATTCTTGAGCAGACTGCAGACTATGCGGGGACTGCCGACGGTGCCGAGCATGCCGAGGCCGGAGCTGAATACTGCATCGACAAGGCCGGGAGCTTTGGCGCCTTCTGCTTTTCTTTTACAAAACTGCTCAGAGATCGGACAGCAGCCGCAGCCTCTGCCAGCTTTAAAATCATTTGGTTGTAGAAGGCTGTCAACTCCTGCCTCCGCATTCGAGACAAAGCATCAAAAATCATTCAGCGCCGGCCGCCTGAAAATCGAAAGCGATCGGCCGTCTGTGACCTCAACAGGCTTCGGTCATCTGGGACTCGGGGGGTTGGGAATCGTAGTCGTGATCCCGTGACTCTGGCAGAATGGTGCATGTTCACCAACAGAAAATGCTGCTCCGACCCGACCTCGCGATCAATGGCACCCAGCAAACAAACGGCATTTACACCGAACAGAGGGGAAGATTGAAACGTCCCAAACCCAGCCCCAAGGCCTTTGCAAGGACGATTCGGATCAGCGGCTCGTCCCGAAGGTTGAAGGGCTTCTGGGCCTCTTCCACCAACCAGGACAGCACCAGCTCGCTGCAGCCCGGCGACCTAAAGGCAACGCCGACGACTGATCAAAGTGAGGCAACCTCCGCACGACTTCACATCTCTTTAGTGTTCATAGTTCTCCTCTCCTTTGATTGCATCGGACATGTTGAAGATTAACTGTTATGGAGTGCTATTGTCAATGAACATTGGATCGCGAGCAGCGCGACGGGCCGGTCGCACTCTGTACGGATCCTTCTCGATAAGCCTACCATCTTTACGCCCTACTCAGCTCTACTCCATCCTACTCCCATGCTCCGTGTAAAGCCAAGTGCAGGACCACTGCTGCGCTCGACCGAGATCGCCCAAACTGAGGCTGCTGGTGCTGGTCCTTGGCATGCCATGCTGTCGCCGTCAACATACTAACCAATGCGCGAGCTGCAGGACTCCAGCATTTCTGTCAAGCGCATCCTGTCCTTAGTGTTTCAGTGCTGCACCCCGACTCATCGACTTCACAGCCTCACAGCCTCAATTTTCTGTTACCCCGGAATGCGCTGGCTAAGCTAGTGACTTCTCGATTTCCTTCTGGTGATCGCATCGGAGGAGAATTGTAGCCCTGCTGTATCCGAACCCGTTGCGTCCGATGGCAGCCGACTGATGGAGGTGGGGTTCGCAACGCCAGTTGTGCTTGGCACCCGCCTGGTAGAAGGTTGGTGACCAACTTGGTCGCCGTGCCCTGCCCTGAAGTCACGAAGCCCAGTGAAAACAATGCAAGGCACAGAAATTCGCGTTTCAACTGGATGGCCCACACGCTCGAAGAGGTTCCGCCAGCTCGCCGCCCTTGTGCCAACGCGGAGGCTCTGGGCTGCAAAAACAATGTAAAACACACATGCCCCGCGCCTCTCGGGAGTGCCCAAACCTCGCAAAGGCCCATCTGATTCACCATCTGACTTACTTTTTTATTGCAACTTTCACAGCTCCAGCAGCTACGCTGCCTGAAAGATTAAGTCAACCCTGGGTGGACCTTTTCTCGCTGGGGCGTGAACCCAATGTCAGTAGCATACAGCACTCGTCATCAAATGTATGGATGGAAGCAAGTCTACACCCCCTCGCCATGCAGCTCCAACCAAAGGCGTTTCTTATTGTACCTCGGGCTCCACGTTGCCCTGAGCTAAAAGAAAGGTTTGTGTAGTTAGACGGCCTTGTGAGCCCTTTTCCACTCGTCCCATTGTATCTCGTTAAAAGGGAGCGGCTGCGGCAGCTGCCACGTCGCGAAAACGACCAGCAAACCTTTGGTTTTCCGCGGCCTGTCTACTCACTGATCTCTGCGATGAGGCCGTCCTCCCCAGCCTGGTACATCTCGCCATCGATCGCAGATCTCGCCGGCCACCGAATGTTAAGACTCGTCGAACTTCACTTTGATGCCAATGGCGATATCAGCATAGCGGCGAGGCGGGGTCATCGTCCATGTAGCAGAAGCCGACGGGCGTGGTCGTGATTGTGCTGTCATCCGTCAGACCGAGGAATCGCCACATGACATCTGGACTGATGCGCTAACGTGCCAGGTGGCCCCCCCCCCCCCCCCAAAATGACGAAGCCCGGGTGACCCGGACTCTTCCATGGGAGGCCGAAGAATGGTGTTGCTTGCGCATGGTGTTGAAGTCCCAGTTGTAATTGTATCTCAACGATTGATGTGAACGAATCGCTCTTTGACTTGCCAGCTCAGGTGTGCCTGAGTCCAGCTGTGACGAGTGGCAGCTTCGAACCAATCGGTTGTACCAGGAGAGAGCTATCACTGCTATGCAGCACTGTCGACAAATCAACTTCATCGCCGATGGGTCTACTCACAGCACCAGCGATTGTCTTGTGACAGTGGCTTGGGCGAATGAGATTTCTGCTGCAGTGTTTGCACCCATGCAAGTGATGAAGACTGGACAAGTTTCTCCACAAGACCGGTTTGACGACAACCTGCTTCTTCAGATATCAAAGCCAAAAAAGCTGGAAAGGATTGCTGCATTCAGACAGCTTCAAGCGATCAGTCACCAAATCTGGATTTTGCACAAAGGGCGAATGGATCTGGGCTCTTTTAAGATCGCCCGCTCTCTTGGGCAGAGGCCTGTGAAAAGATATGAAAGCATTCTGAAAGCAGGGTGGTTTTCCAAGTTGGAAAAGAAGACAATGACATTGACCGCTGTATTCAGTGGTTGAGGGACAATCCGGATCCGGCTGAAGGCAGAGTGCCAGAAGGCAGAGCAGGACCCATGCAAGCTGAGATTCGAAACAATGGTGGAAGTTTTTGATTCGTCAGCCCAGAAGTCTAACCGCAAAGGCGTGACAGTGTTGAGCAAGGACGATTGCGAAGTTGCAGTAGATCCTTGCCGGTAGCCTTAGGCAGTTATTCCTGCTACCTTTCCGCGGTGGACCGCAGCGGCGACATGAAGTACAAGAGTGGCACGCTGTTCATCGGCTATCGAGCCAGTCGCTTGAAGGCCATCTCAGGTGGCTGGTCACCGAGTCTGAGGGGAGCCGCACTCACAGCGCCATCCCTCCTGAATGCATCACTTGCATCGTTGACGCAGTGAAGTTGGACCTTCGAGGGTGAGCCAAAAGCACGTGTTCAGCGCAAAGACTTATTAACTACGAGGAAATTACCAGGTCATCTAGCGCCGTCCCCAGGTTCTGCGGCCATTCGCAAATGACTGATGAAAGCAAATCCCCGGAAAACTAGATTTCCATGCCCACTGAAGTGGAGCCGCCGGAAATGCCACAGCAGAATCCTCAGAGTGATCTCCACATCCCTGAAAAAAATCCTGTGTTTTCTTCTTCGTATTGTTCTCTATGATATCCTTATCCAACAAATTTGCAAGAGCGGTATATATGTTTGGTGTGTCGACTTTTCCGGTCTTGGAAGTTGCATGTACCACCTCGTAAACCACTCGGCTGGATTTTCCAGTTCCAAAACAATGGGCCGCCCGGCAGGTGGTGCCAACTCTGTCCAAAAGTTCTTTTTGCGTGTGCTTTCCATGTCCCGCCTGATGCAAGCGTGGTAGTCTCCCACTGTCACAACGGCATCTTTCGCCACCCGGTTCCTTTCAAACTGATCATGCAGTTCTATGCGCCTTAGATGCGGGAAGCTGTGTTCCACCAGAGCTATATATACATATGTATGCACACATGTATACA